ATATCCTTTGGCAAGATATTAACCTGCACTTGCTACTCTCCACCCAGGTGTGAAATGGGTACCCGGTAGGATGCGACCGTCATTGTTGGTCAAACAGTTTTTGAGCGTCAAGTAATGCCTGGCTGGAATGCTCCCCAGGGAGTGGAGATTGTGCACACAGTGTGTGTGGGCAAGCACTGAATCCAATGACCGGGGTAATAATATATTTGTGAAGGGCTTAGAGACATTTGTATTAAGCACTATATAAAAGCTAAATATTATTATTATTATTATATCAATACGCTGGTTTTCATATTTTGGCAAAATGTCTCATCAACAGAGCATTCCCTTAGATGACTTGCAGTCAATATCACATCAAATTTTGACTCATTTTATTGAAAGTATTTAAACACTGATAAACATTTGAAATGAAAATATGGAAATAGCTGTTACTGTTTATGAACAAGCTTCTAGAAGAAGAGAAGAAAAAAACATCCAAGAAAATTTGCATAAAAGAAAAAAAAGAGAACTTATTATTCATCTGTATTGAGAATTAGAAATCTTCTTTTTCTCATTGAAAAAATATAACTTGAAAATCACTGATATCCTCAAAACTAGAGGATAAATCCTATAGGAAGTTCAAACTATTGTCACTAGCTATATTATCTTGTTTCCGAACACTTTTTCAACTAGTTTTTTGTTCTTGATTTACATATACAGTATTTACCTTTAAGCGAAGTAACTGTACAGGAATGCCTCGTAGGTTTCTAATCGACGTCAACACGTAAATAAGAAAATTGTTCCTTGTATTCCGTGTCCTAGAAACGTGTCTATTACTTCCAGTCTAGTGCTTCATAGATACCGTGATTTCATGACTTAATGGTTTGGAGTTAGTGGAGCACGATGAATTAAAAAGAATCAATAGAAGATGGCTATTCCAAGGGGGAATCAAAATCGATGACAACAAAATTTCTCCATTGTTGGCGCAAAATTTGATTTCGTGCAGGCGTTGGGATGAGGAAATATTGATTGAAGCTTATAGAAACAGACTTGGAAAGGATGGGGTAGAAAAATTGGCAAGGTCAATAAATTTTTCATGAAGAGTCTTATTGAACTTCATACATATATTTGTGGTTATGCTATGGGCCACAATGCCAAGTGATATAGCTTGGTCCATTCTTTGAAGGGACATGGACATCATGGGAGAGGGCACCATTTATAGTTGATGAATGAAATGCAAATTACCAATGCCGTCGATAAAGGGAAGTTAGAGGAGGAGTCCATATCATCTTTCTTTTTCCACCCTCCACCTCCCCTCTCTATACTTTTCTCCTTTTCTTCCACCATTTTATTAGGGGAGAATATGCCATACCCCTCCAGTATATCCAAAATCCAAAGCTGAGATAGATTTAGGGTGCGTTTATGCTTGATTTTGAAGGTAGATTGAGCGATCTGAAACGCTCATCATAAACGCTCATCGTAATCGCAGTTCCACGGTGTACTGTTTATGCTCACTTCTCTGGCTCGATCCTCCAGGCAAATATGGCTGGGTGGCCTTGCAGCTGGATTCGCAAACCTGCACTGCGCATGCTAGGTAGACCCACTAGAGGTCAGTGCGTTGACCCCATTTAAACGTGTTTACAAATGATTGTGCGTTTATGCTTCCCAGAATTGTTGATTTTGCAGCAACGCCGATCATAAACGCACCTTTTTGTGAGTTTTTCGGTGATTCTACAAAAATGAGAAAGGACGCAACCATGTTTTGAACAAAACGCGTAACAGATGCCTGATTCTAGCCAGAAAAAGTTGAGCATAAACATACCCCAAGTAGGAAACAAAGTTTATGAGGAGTCTGACATCGCACCCTGGTTCTCAGGTGGTGATATGGCAGTGAATTTATAGGTGATCAGTGATCACACTTTTAGAAGTCTGTAGCAGTTCCCTTCCTGTCTCTAATACCAGACATCAGGCAATCTTTCCTGTACAGTGCGTCCCAGAAAAAACGAAACCGAGAATTATCGATGTTTTGTCATAAATTAGTCACATTTATAATTGTTAAAGGTAAAGACCAGTAATGGTCATGCGATTGCATTGTGAAAGAAACGTTGTGGAATCGATCAGAAAAGGTCGATCATCTAGCATCTAGCATCTGCAAGGTTCTGGAATCATCAAAATGATAAGAAATTTGGCTCATTCTTCGTAAAGTTACAAGCACTATACACAGAAAGATGTATATGGGACTACCCTATCTCTCTCACCAGACCATGAGAGAAATAAATTTACCAAATATATGAATTAGTAGGCGGTTTCCCGGCAAATTTTTTATCATCATGTATTAGTCAAAACATATTCTTTCACATGATTGGTAATGAGAGCTTCCATTTCATTTTTTGAAATTGGGGCGTTGCCAATACTGGTCTTTACCTTTAAATGACACATATTTGGAAAGCTTAGATCCTCCTCTTTTATTTGATGCAACTCAAATGATCCAGATTTCATGCATGGGTGATTAAAATGAATTTGAAGAGAGGAAACCAAAAAGTAATTTGGCAGACGGTATCTGAATTTCAAAGAGAAAATCACATTTCTAGAAAGCTGAGTATCTGCCCTTTCATATGACACCTCGGTCAGGAAAAATAAGCTAGGAATAACAAAGTTCTGTTTGTTTAAATGAAAGAGGAGGATCTAAGCTTTCCAAATATGTGTCATTTATTGATTATAAATGTGACTAAGTTATGATAAAACATTGACAATTCTCGGTTTCATTTTTTCTGGGACGCACTGTATAGTTTACATTCTTGCAGCAAGAGGAAGGAAGTGAATCTGCCCAAGCGGAAGGAAATCATCACATTCATTTTTTTCTTTAATAACATTCAGTAGAGGAGAAAAATTCATAAATATACTTAACAATGTAAACATAGGCCTATGCATTTAGAGAGAGAGAGCAATGTAATTATGCAACATGTTAGCACCTTTTGATACTTGAATTCTACTACTGTTACTAAAGAGTTGGCATGGAATTAGTGCTGTAATACTTCTTTTAGGGTAATAGAGTGGCAGAGAGCATTAAATCATTTTAAAGAACAGAAGAAAAAAAGGAATCTTCGACTTTGTGCAATGTTTTGAATGTTAATATTCTGTTAGTCATATAACTTCCTTCAAAGATGAATCAACCATTTAAATAGCTGAATAAAGTCATAAAAATGGATTTGCAATGTCTTCATCTATAAACAGCTTTTAAGACTGACAAGTAAAAACCTTCACCTCAAGTGCATAAGTCACTGACACTGAAATAGCACTGGCAGTGAACCCAAGCCAGAGTGTCTTCCAAAAGGGAACATTTTTATCACCGAGGAATCTGTGTCCTTACAAGACAAAATGCAGGAAATTGGTGTTGGCATATCACCAAGTGCATCCAATTTGAATGTCGACAAGCCTGAGACACATCTTACAAAAACGTTTTCCTCCACGGGTGATGACAAATCGCAAATCCCTGCTTCCTAGGGCGAAAGTGATCAATGAACACCCTCATGCGAAAAAACATAAAGCACAGGATTCTACATCTTGACATTCCAACTTGTGATTCATGAATTTAAGGCCTTGAATATTTTATGATTCATTGCTATTCCTTGATATACAAAAGCAATATATACCGGATGCCTTATATCTAGCCTGCACAGTTGTTTGAACTACAATTTTCCAGTATACACAAGTGCTTTCAACAAATAAATATTTAAGCACCCGATCAATACATCAGCATGTGTCCAATGTCAAGATTCCTAAGGCAGTGCATTAAAATTTCAAAATAGCTATGAATAGATAATGTTAAGGGGAAAGGGAACGGGGGTCAACACATGTGAAACTCTACAATCACAAGGGGTATATACTCAAGTCAAGAGCAAGAGAGATAACAAAACAATAACAATAATATTCTTGATTTATTTAATGTCTAATATACAGTCAAACCTGCTTTAGTGACCATCTGTCTACAAAGACCACATTTTGTGTTTCCCTTGAAATGGTTTCTCATTGAAACATGTACGAAACGAACTTATACATAAAGACCACCTGCCTATAAAGACCACTTTTCTTACATCTCCCTCGGATGGTCTTTATAGACAGGTTACACTGTATCTACGATTGAGAGAAATGTTTGTAGCTAGCGGGAGGTCAGTTCTAATTCCTACCCCTGGATCCCCACAGCCGATGCCCCATCCTGTCTCTTGTACATAAAGACCACCTGCCTATAAAGACCACTGTTGTCTCCCTTGGGTGGTCTTTATAGACAGGTTACACTGTATCTACGATTGAGAGAAATGCTTGTTGCGGGAGGTCAGTTCAAGTTCCTACCCCTGGAACCCCACAGCCGATGTCCCATCCTGTCCTACCCTGTACATAAAGACCACCTGCCTATAAAGACCACTTTTCTTACATCTCCATTGGGTGGTCTTTATAGACAGGTTTCACTGCATCTACGATTGAGAGAAATGCTTGAAAATAGTTTCTCATTGAAACATGTACTAAAGGAACCTGTACATAAAGACCACCTGCCTATAACTGCATCTACGATTGAGAGAAATGTTTGAAGTGGGAGGTCAGTTCAAGTTCCTACCCCTGGATCCCCCACAGCCGATGCCCCATCCTGTCCTACCCTGTCCCGATACTGTCCATACCAATCACTCCTTCAAATACAACGTTTCCTCTGGCTTGATCGATAGTCAGGAAACGTGAACGGACAAACAGTGGAGGAGAGAAGAGCCTGCAGGGGCTGAGTAAAGGGTAGAAACTTAAAAGGTCATTGCCAACTGCATGGTAGATGTTATTCCTCACAAAAATTACAATATTATAAGAGTGTTTGGAGTTTGCATTCAAAGGTGATTCAACAGACTTGGCATATGGTACAAGTACTTTTTCCCTGGTACATATATGAAATTTATTATGACCGTAATAATAATAATATACCATACTATTTTGCTTTGTATTGTGCTTCATATGAAATGGTCAGGTTCAATGATATTAAGTATTTGTCTACTTTTTATATCTTTCAGGTTATGCAGCAATACAGAGCACGGGTTATATAGATGACTATATGGAAGACTACCTCGATAAGAATCACTACACCGGTGCAGCTCTGGGAGTGGCCAGGGGCAACATGTTGGTGTATTCCAAAGGCTACGGGACTAGCGTTAAAGGCACAACCATGGAGCCATCGACGTTGCTTCCGGTGTCCAGTATCTCAAAGACCATCACTGCAGTAGCCATCCTGAGGCTGGTGCAGGATGGTAAACTGAGCCTTGCAGATAGGGTCTTCGGAGGTGGAGGTCTTCTGCAGTCCTTGAAGCCATGGAAAGGAGCGTCGGATCACAGGTTGCAAAAGATCACCGTGGAGCATCTCCTGCACCACACAGCAGGATGGAGTCAGCAGAAGCCCCCTCTGTATGACCCCTTGATGAACGAGGTCTATCTGGCGAGGGGGCACAACGTCCTCAACATCAGTAAAGAGATGGATCTCATTGGAGAGCTGAAGCAGAAGGATGTTATTCAGTTCATGATGGGTCGGAAGCTGGATCATGCGCCTGGTACAACCTACGAATATTCTAACCTTGGTTACTCTATCCTGGGCCAGGTTATCGAAGAGGTCTCATGGATGAGCTATGAGGATTATGTCAGGGAATATGTCTTTGAACCTTTGGGGATGTGGCAGACAAGATTGAAACCTCCTGGAGAATCCGATCCTACAGAAAATATCTACAGTATTGCATTTCAAGACGGGGAAGTGCCTTTCATGGGATACCCAAATGCTAAAAGTCCATCAATTTCACTTATTGATTCATCCTTAGGATGGTATTCCACTGTCTATGACATCATGAGATTTGTGACAGGTTTAGCGGACGGGACGTTGCTGACCAGAGACTCGTACCAATATCTACTGACACCTCCGTCATCTCCAATGTTCGAGCACCAGGAAACATGGCCAGGTATGGGTGTGAGAGTCTCTAATACAGGAGCTTGGTGGCAGGTGGCAGATCCTCACGACAATGAAATCATCATCTTTCACCAGGCAACATCAATGGCTTTCACCAAGCCGAAAGACGCGGATGTGGACTCCATGAGCTGGGTGCTCATCATGTCCTCAAACAACAGGAAAAACCTGAGGCTGTTTGATGAAATCTTCTCTTCCATCAACTGGCCTTTCAGGAATCTGTTCTTAGAGGACTGCGGTCTATCCACTCAGGACACGGCAAATGATCCACAAGCAGTCTTGTTGCAGTCTAAAATATCAGAGCATCGGTTTCCTACATATCTCAATGCTTTATCAAGGAGCAGCTTCTATCCGACATGGATCAATACATACAACTTTAATGGTGAAACATTTATGAGTGTGGTATCCACCCATCAACCAAACAATGCTAAACCCGCAGCCGTATCGGGTCTTTTAATATCTGAATTGAAATCGAAAGCTGATGAATTTTCTTCTCAGGGATTGCAGTTGTCATTCATCAACAGTTACGGCAGTAGTGATCATCAAGGGCACATCATGCAGGCAGCCATTTTCACATCCTCAACAGAAAGGACATTACTATCAGGTTTTCATAAATCCTATGAGCATTACTTGCACAGTTTAGACAGGCACAGAGAACAGGGATACCTCCCGGTGGTGCAGAGTATTTCTTCGAGACACGGGACACCGACTGTGAGTTTTATTTTTGAGAAACGGGGGAGTGCCAACTGGAACTCATATACCAACCTCACCCTCGAACAACTAGATGGTGTGGTCAGGTCCAATGCTCTTCTCGATAGAACTTTACATTACTTAGACTCTTATAATCATCAAGGGACACTCTTCTTTTCAGCCATATTTCTGGATGAAGGACTCCACACGTGGCACTTCCAGGCCACTGTGAGCGAGTTTGAATTTCAAGATGCTGCAAAAACTTACACACGTTTAGGTTATCATTCTTCGGTAATCACAGGATATGAACATAATAATGAATTGAATTTTGCTGTACTTTGGGTAAAGAAATAATTTATTGCCATCCAGTATTCTCCTTCTTTTTCTAGGACTCTAGTTGTGAATAAAGTTATTTTGTGCTTTTGAAAATAAGTTGAAGAAGGTTTTATACTATTTCAAGGAGTACAAGTAAGAATAAAGGCAGTGGAAGCCGGAGTTGTTAAATGTGTATTGAATCTTCCTTACTAACACAATGAATGTAACAAACTGTGTTGACTGGATGTAACATACTGAACCGCCCAAAAACTTATCACGATAAAAGGGGTCCTGGTGCCCCCTCACCCCCCCCCCCCCCCCTCCTCCATATCCTCCCAGTATATGCCTCGCTGAGCCTTGACAACCTAGATGATGTTAAGTTTTAAACTTTTTTAAACCAAATCGGCCATTTTGAAAATGTAACCAAATTTATATTCAAGTGCCTACAATAAAAATTATTACATTCACCTGTCACCTACAAACATGTATCTCAATAGTCAAAATTCAAATTGCAACACTACTTACTGTAGGTAGCACAATTTGCATTCTGACTATTGCAATACAGTTCTTTGTAACAGGTGAATAAAATAATTTGTTTTGAGGAATTAAATTAAATTTGGTTACATTACGAAAATGGCCTATTTCAAACGCTGTGTTTTATTTATTTAGATTACTCAGTTTGTAAAGATCTGCCTACAACAACTCTGAATCTGATCATCTGAACATTAATGAATTATCAAATAAATGCTGCTTCTTCGACTCATGATTTTCATTCAAGAGCAGGTCGAATGAACATGAAAAAAAAAAATGTCTCTGTAAATAATCTTAAGTTATTTCACAACTGCATATTTATTTCCATTGTATTGCTTCTACTTTGCTGGGTAGCAAATCTATATACTTTGTACATATCTATAGAGTAATTTATCAGAACTGAGGAAAATGACACTGAATATTGTTGCTAACAACTGAAAAAATATTGATTACAATGGTTGTATACAAATAATCTGTGACCAAAATGAGGTCTATATGTGACTGACTTGGCTGCTTCGACAGTGACAGTGATTTGTATTTCACAATTTGAAACGGCATTTTATTTTAAGCCTTACAATGTGACCAAGTTTACAAATTGAATAAAATATAAATATGACATTTTTCCAATCATGGTTTAACTTGTTTAAATGTATATATATGAATATTCAAAGTATCAAACTTCAATAAGCAAATTAAAAAAATAACAATAAGTTTAAACAAGATAAAGAAGTTTTTAGCCAAAAGATATTGGTTATCATTATAATTTACAGAACTCAAAGGGTTAAAAAGAAATCTTTGGAGGCTTTCTGATCCAGTGAGCATTATAAGTAATTTGGGTCCTTTTTCTAAATTTTCATATGATTAAATGGGTTCATAGTTCAACTGTGCTAAATTATTGACATTGAGCTTTTATCTTTAAAAAGAGAGAGAGAGAGAGATGATTAAATGAGATACAGGTACAAGTTATTCCTACGAGTCTCACTTTATTTCTAAACCCCTCAAAAAAAATTGTAAACTCAAATTTGGTTGAGTGTACATTGTTTTTCTCTTGTTATGGCATGATTGTCACTATGTTTAGTATCATCAGAATTTAGAAAGGTGTTTATTCCTCTTTAAAAATAACAACTTTTCTGTCATGGAATGTGCATTACAACATCATAAGGGGCAAGGTCAAACGTGAAAAATTGCAAAATGCACTGCACTTGTTCGGCTGTGCATTCTTCTTCCTTAGAACAGTGTAGGGCTGCTGTGTAGTGCACCGCATTACAATACCAGTGCTTACCAGTTGCATTTTGCAACTCTTCGCTTTTGACACCACCCCTTATTCTTATGTAGTGCTCATTCCATGGCTGCAATATCATAACAAATAGGGTATCATTTGAAAGAGGAATAAACATACTTTCTAATGATACAAACGAAAGTGATAGTTATCCCGTGAGAAGAGAGATATAACAGATCAAACTTGAGTTTCCAATCTTATTTGAGGGGGGTTTATAATCAAATTGAAGTTGAACAATAGGTAGCATAAAAATGCTAGGTCTCACAATATACCACATCTAATGTGCTTGTCTAAGAGTTGCAGGTGTCACGAGTGTGGTAATATGAGTGCCAAAAAACAAAAAACTAAAGTGATTGACTTGCAAATTTGTACATGTAACTAAGGCACTTATTAACTCCATGTGAAAATTCTTCTTTTAGTTGGTTTGTCACATAGGTTTGTCATGTTAAGAAGGGCATTAATAATTCATGTTTTTTAGTAGCAACCATAATCCATACATTCAACTTTGTGAAGTACTTATAAAAATGTATGTCATTTGAAAATAAACTTTTTTCTGAAATATTGTGACTTGCATTAAAGATGTTGTCTTTTTCAAGTTTGAGCATTAATGTAAAAGATCAATATCAATAATCAATATCCCATGAGAAAAATTTAGAGAGAAGGGAAAATGGGAAATACGTAAGTATAAGGGAGAGACTGATAATCAAATAAAAAACAGTCACTGTTTCCTAGATCTATATTAGATACTCCCTTCCTCTGTCTTCTCTTTCTCCTCTCTCTCTCTCTCTCCCTCATTACCTCTTCTTCTGTAAGAGTTGGTAAATATATGTGTACCTGCCTCTCTTTCTCTCTCTCTCTTTCTTGCTCTCTCTCTATCTATCTCTCTCCTCTGCCCATTGTCTCTTTCTCTGTATGAGTTGGTACATAGTGTGTATATGTGCCTGCCTCTCATTCTTTCTCTACCCCTACCCCCCCCCCCCCCCCCTCTTCCCTCCCTCCCTCACACATTCACACACTCATATATACCTAATTGTGCCCATCTTATTGGCAAGTCTGATAATACACTGGAATGAACAAAACATGTTCACCATTAAACAAATTAGAAATCTCCAGCATATATCAATTAATCAATTTGTACTTAGTGTCTTAATGGCCATTATTTCTTAATTGTCAGCATCCTGTATGTTTGGCATCGCTTAAAATAATTTGCACATCGAAGTAAATCAATACGAAGTGTAGGATCATAGCAAACATAAAATTTGCAAATACCTACTTCATAATAAAGCTTTTCTCAGGCACATTCTTCCTGGATATAGAACACTAGGCCTGTCTTCATCAGCTTGAGATTGCCAAATAGCCTGCTATATGGCAAACTACGGTAGCCAAAGATATCTTGGATGATTATCTCGACCAAATATCCTGCTAATTGCAACTGCGGGCTGATGAAGATGCAAATTAGCTGGATAACTTGATAGTTGAAATAGCGGGTTATTTGGCAATCTCAAGCTGATGAAGATGCATATTAGCTGGATAACTCGATATTTAAAATAACGGGTTATTTGGCAATCTCGAGCTGATGAAGACAGGCCTACTGTCATCAAGTTAATTTACCTCTCATGTATTTTTCTTTGTATAATCATGATTTGCAAGAAGGGTGTAATCATACTTCCTTTTCTGTAAGGCTGTTTTTCAAATTTTCAGTAAAGAAGTTTGTCCTTTAAAAGGAAAAGACACGCTCTAAAAGAACAGAATTAGACCACAACCAAAGATTCTGAACACTATTGAGATATGAATTGTACATTTAGTGCATGAATCTGAAGTTTCCCTATTATTTCTAAATTTGAGCGTCTGAACGTTAATAGTTCAAAGATTTGTTCAATGTGCCAGTTCATCAGGAACCTACCGATAAAAAGTTTAAGTATAATGAGATGTTTCTATTGTCAAATAAAAGTACTCTACCCAAAAGAATATTTTCAGACAGTCGTGTAGTTCAATACAGCACATAACTTTCTTTGTATAATACAAACACCTGTCATAATAACAAGTTCCAACCAGGTATTTGAAGGTGCCATAAATCTACTCTTGAAAACCGATGTAAACCAAAAATGTACTAAAGGGGACATTGCAAGTACAACAATTTGATCTTTATATGATAAATCATGATTGATAAACGCATGTTATGATAAGAAAGAATGTAATGGAAAGGACTTTGAGCATGGACCTCATACAAATACCCTGTTATGACAGTGGGTATATAGCAGTATTACCCCCCCCCCCCCCCCCTTTAATTTCACTTTCAACACATCACAATCACTTACTTGTATGTATTTCTTTCCTTTTCCCTCTCTCTCTCTCTCTGTTTGTCTCTCGAACTCGTTCTCTCTCTCTCTCTCTCTAACCGTTCATGCTCTAACACACACACACACATCCCCACACCCACACACACGTTAGAGACACCAACACACAAAGATACATATATTGTTGATCTTACACTGCTCTGATACATAATTAAATCAGCAAATGAATTTTCGATACATCTACAAATCTCGCTATATTTGATCATGAAAATGATGGGATGAGGGATATAGTAGTGATGATCATACTGATGATGATGATGATGATGATGATGATGATGATGGTGGTGGTGTTGATGGTTATGTTGATGATGGTGTTGATGGTGATGTTGAAGATGATGAGGAAGGTAATGATGATGATGATGATGATAATGATGATTAAGTTTATAATAATGATGGTGATGATAATGATGATTAAGTTTATAAAAATGATGGTGATGATAATGATGATTAAGTGTATAATAATGATGGTGATGATGTTGTTGTTCTTGTTGTTGTTGGATAAGTAGTAAAGAAAGACTTGATATTCTGATATTTCCAATAAAAATGCAGGTGTTCAAACAAATCTAAAAGGAGAGAGAAGAGGAGATGATACTAAAAGGATAGGAAATGCACTGGTTGTACAATTCAATTTAGTAATTCTTCTCATCTTTTTCCTATTATCTTCTCCTCCTTTCCTACATCTGTCCATTTTCCCCTGGGGCAATCGCCATTGGACAAGAACTGACCATGAGGACATTGGGATTATATCCTGATCTCTAGGATTATCCTCAAATACGATACTGTCCTTCAAACAAATCTCCTGACTTTATTCAAAGGAAGATATGGAATCATATTAAAAATGACGAAGTCTTTGGGGGTATAGAAAAATGCTGGTCTGCCATATTTGGAGTAAGAATATACATGTATATAACTGGAAGACAGGCCTATTTTAAGTTTTGTTTTTAACCCCTTCTCTGCTGTGGGTGGCAAATCCAATCTAATTTTAGAGATGCACAATATGTTTTGTTTTGACTAAGAATGTCTAAAAAAAAATTCCCTGAAAGAGAAACTTGCATCTTCACTCTGTATTTTATGTACATGTAAATATTAGATTGTATGCAAAACCTATCCATTAACAAAGCATTACTCTTGAAAATTCATTCCAAAATGCAGCTTAATTCCCTTCATTATCTCTCATAGTTTCCTCCAGTATACTTCCACAATGCAAATTCTATGTAACTGAAAACACACCCCCACAAAAAAAAAATTGTACAAAATAAAAACTAAAAAGCCAAATAACTCCTAGCATCAAATTCACCTAGTGTTGAATTCACATCAGGGAGTAACTTTCAATAGAAGACAGGGTAATTCATAATCACGCTCTGTGCGCATGCTCGCAGTAAAGAAACACCTCAAAACAATGAAAGTTTGTTGGCGAGGTTAGAGATGAAGAAATTGTTCATCTCACTGTCAAGGTTGCTATGAATGCATGCCTTGATAAAGATAGATTTAACCTTGCACAATATGACCTTGAGACCTTCCCCTGTCACTTTGGGTGTCATCGTCATGCTGGGTTCGCACATTTCAAATAAAAGTCAAAAGTCAAAAATTTGATTCGCTAATGCCGCCATCAAATACCATTTATGAAGTATGCATGAAAATCTAGGTCATTTAATTTAAAGGGCAAGTAATTTAAAGGGCAAAATAGAAGTAGAAAAATCAGACAAACCAATCAAAAAAGTTTGAGTAAAACCGGATACCGGTAACTAATAAGAAAGGTTAGGAATTTTTAATGACATGAAAACCTTTGAAAATCTAGAGACAAATTGGCAACTCAGTCATGAGTCTGTGATGTCATTTCCTCACTATCCACTAAACAGATATTTACCCTTGCACAATATATCCTTGAGACCTTCTCCTGTCACTTTGGGTGTCATCATCATGCTGGGTTCACACATTTCAAATAAATACAAAAGTCAAAAATTTGATTCGCTAATGCCGCCATCAAATACCATTTATGAAGTATGCATGGAAATCTAGGTCATTTACTTTAAAGAGAAGGTTGAGTTCTGGAAAGAGGTGAGCAATAATTAGTGAGCGTTAACATTGTTAATATGCAAGTGAGGAAGAACATCAGATAAAAAATGTTCCCTGAAAAGCATAGCTCTTCAAATGCTTCCATATTTTAAATATGGCATGTAACAACATAAAAAAATCAGGACGGATTTTTATTCAGATTATTTTATTTGTGTAGCCCCATATACATGTTTCTGTGTACAGTGCTCGTAACTTTACCAAGACTGGGCCAAATTTCTTATCATTTTGATGATTCCAGAACCTTGCAGTACACACCAATACTTTTATGCTAGATGATCAACCTTTTCTGATCGCTTGCAATAGCATGATCAGAACTCAACTTTATCTTTAAGTATTGCGCCAAAATGGTCCAATAAGCAATACAAGTAAATGTGAATGCTTTTTATCACCACTGCTTTCTCACACAATGACACATAAAGTAATTCATAATGTATGATCAGAGGAAAGAATGATATCAACAGGACCCTTTTTTATCGGAATGCAGAGGTGGTAATGGTCTCTCCGTGAACCGGATTATGACTCCAGCAGCACAGATAATTTCTCAAGCTCTTTCTGAAGCTGGTTTTCTTTGCTAACACCTAAAAATAAAGGTTGGATCACCTTCACCAGCTTTTCGAACGTTAACGAAGTTTTTAAGAGCATTTTTTGTTGAAAAAATATATAACTGATAAATTTAAGTAGACACCATCAAACATATTAAGTTAGTCGTCATCAAACTAGCATAACTATAGAAGCAAAAAAATGAAAGTACAATGTTTCAAAATTTGATGATGATTACAATTTTATCATCACACTCTTGTCCTTAACATATTGGCAAATGTTCAGAAAGTCGTAAATATACTTTGGTATTAATCCTTCTCTCCTTTTCTATCCCATTCCACTCTCCCTTTTTTTCCACCCCTCACTCACTC